TATGCACCTGTAGCACGTTTAGAAGCTATTCGTTTACTTCTTGCTTTTGCTTCGTCTATGGATTTTAAACTTTATCAAATGGATGTTAAGAGTGCCTTCCTCAATGGTTTTATTCAAGAGGAAGTGTATGTTGACCAGCCCCCGGGGTTTGAGGACTTTGAGTTTCCCGATCACGTCTTCAAACTCAAGAAAGCGCTCTACGGTCTTAAACAAGCACCACGTGCTTGGTACGAACGTTTGAGTAAATTTCTTTTGGATAGTGGTTTCCAAAGGGGAAAGGTAGACACCACACTTTTCATCAAGAGTAAAAACAATAACATCCTTTTGGTTCAAGTTTATGTAGACGACATTATATTCGGTGCTACTAACGAGTCTTTGTGCAAGGAATTCTCAACGCTAATGACTAGAGAATTTGAAATGTCAATGATGGGCGAGCTCACATTCTTTTTGGGACTCCAAGTTAAGCAAATGAAAGATGGCACGTTCATTTGCCAAACTAAATACTGCAAGGAGCTCCTAAAACGGTTTGAAATGGACAACGCCAAAGCCATGGCGACCCCGATGAGCACGTCTGATCATCTTGACAAAGACGAGAAAGGTAAGGAAGTAGAGGTCAAAAAGTATCGAGGTATGATCGGATCCCTTCTTTATCTTACTGCTAGTAGGCCGGATATCATGTTTAGCGTTTGCCTTTGCGCAAGGTATCAATCGTGTCCGAAGGAATCGCACTTAACAGCGGTAAAACGGATTATGAAATATCTTGCCGGCATGGTAAACGTTGGGCTGTGGTATCCAAAAGGCTCTTCTTGTCATCTCGTTGGCTATTCTGACTCGGACTTTGCCGGTTGCAAATTAGACCGTAAAAGTACGAGTGGGACTTGCCACTTACTTGGTAGCTCTCTAGTCTCATGGTTTAGTAAAAAGCAAGTCAGTGTTGCGTTATCCACAACCGAAGCGGAATATGTAGCCGCCGGTAGTTGTTGTGCTCAAATTCTTTGGATGAAGCAACAACTCGTGGACTATGGCCTTAGTATCAATCACGTCCCTCTTCGTTGCGATAATACTAGCGCCATAAGCTTGACGAAGAACCCCGTTCTTCGCTCAAGGACGAAACACATTGACATTAAGCATCATTTCATTAGAGATCATGTTCTCAAAGGTGATGTCGAAATTGAGTTTGTTGAAAAACACAACCAATTAGCCGACATTTTCACAAAACCTTTAGAGAAAGATTCGTTCTTCCGCATTCGAAGTGAACTCGGAATCCTTGACTCCACGATGATTTAAGTTATGCATCTAAACTTATTAAACGCTTACTAACTTGAGCGTCGGAGAACTTTTTTCTTTTTTGCAGGTACCCCATTCATGAAATCAGGGGGAACCATGCAAACAGCGCTGTCCAGGAGACCAAACAGCGCTGTTGAGGAAAACACCGTCAACCAGAAAGTCTGCGAACAGCGCTGTACAAGACCTCAACAGCGTTGTCCCAGGGAGTCCCTTAAATCTTCACTTTCCAGAAACTTTTTGAACATCGATGTTCCTTTTTAAACATCGTTGTCTACCCAAAACATTTTGTTTTCAACCAAAACCAGAAACTTTTTTAACAGCGATGTCTTACCTTCAACATCGATGTCCACTTTTACAAATTTTTTCCTCTATCGCAAAACAGCGATGTAGAGAAACCCAACAGCGCTGTTCTAATGGGTTCACACCCTTATACAATTCCAGAAACTTTTGGAACATCCCTGTAGGGTACCCAACATCGCTGTCCTTTTGACTCCTGTTTCTTAAAAACATGACGTAGAACAACGCTGTACAAGGAACAACAGCGCTGTCTCAACTGCGATGTCGCCTGTATAACATCACTGTTCTGGTCAAAATTTTCAAAAAAATTATCCGTTGCACCTGCATTCATTGCTCCAACAGTCATTTTTTTGAAATTCTGGACGTTGGAGGCTTCCTTTTCTATATATTGGAGCCTCCACTCCTCTTTTATACACACACAAACACAAATTCTCTCCCTACTACTTGCATATCTCACTCCTCTTACATTTTTTGTTAAATTTCTTCATCATGGGCAAAGATAAGAACAGGGCAGGAGCTTCCGGCAAATCCAAGGCCAAATCCCGGGCGCCTACGACATCTACCGAAGAACGCCTCTACTACGGTGACGGGTCATACCTTTGGTTTGATTCCGAGGAGGAACGCACCCGTTTCCTCACCTTCTTCTCTAAACGGGTTGTGGCTCCCCCACGGATCATCTCGGAGCGCTACCCGGAGTTGCAGGGCTACGACGACCTAGACGCACAGCTTCATCAAGCCCACCTTTGGCCTTTCGTCTCCCGGGCTCGGAAGGAGATCAACCCGGCGCAGATTCGGGTCTTCTACTCCAACCTCCGGCGTGAGGGCGACGTGCTCTACTCTCTTGTCAAGAGCACGCCGATAGAGCTTTCAATTGAGCAGCTTGGGCGCATCGCCGGCCTCCCCTACCAAGGCGATGACGTCTCCCACTATGGCGGAGAGGACTGGGTGCTCAACAACGAGGGCCTTATCCTCAACGAGCTTGGCATCACCGAGCTCATCTGCCATGCCTTGGGCCGCCCCACCATCCACTCCGCTAACCCCGAAGGCCGTCTTCTTCTCTACATCGTGTCCCGAATCATCAAGCCCCGGAAGCATGG